ACAATATACTTTCACAAAGCAAAATCAAAAATCTCGGTTACCGGAAGAAAGAATCTGGAAGACGCGGTGAAGGAGGGCTCGATGATGATGGAGTGCTTTGCGACCGACTTTGATGCTGTTTGATATAGGATATTATACTGGACCCGGTTTAATGGACAAAACGAACACATATTGGAAGATAAGCCCACGTGCGGACAAAAGACATATAGCACCGCGATATGGGCCAAGCCCAACTTGGGCCCAAAAAGGTACACTTCCCCTATAAAAGGGGGGTTGAGGTATTCCTTTCTCTCATTCTCTTCTCATTCCACTACTACACTCTCTCTATCCTCTCTTCATTACATTACTACACGCATTCTCTCTCTTGATCTGAGCACTGATTTAGGCATCAGAGGCCCGACGCCGGGGCAACCCGGCGTTGGGTTCTGCAGGTACGGAGGCCGGTTCGAGTTGAAGGAGCCCGGGTGAATCTTATTCACTTCATTGGCGCCGTCTGTGGGGATCATCTTCCTTTGACCAATGGAAGGCCATGCCATTGGCTCCTTTGGTCTCCTTATTGCACCCTTCAAAAAGGCAGAGGAACGGTGGGGATCCCGATCCGTCCGCAGAGGAAGGTGGTGAGGAGCCGCCCGATCCGCCCGAAGAGGAATCTGGGCCATTGCCCTTGTCTGTTCCAGTAGAAGCACCCGAGGCCGAGCCCTTATCCTTGTCTGATCCGGCAGATACACCCTTGCCCTTGCCCGAGGGCTTGCCCGAGCCCTTGCCTGATCTGGAAGCGCGGGAGGCCTTGATGGGGCTAGTGACCTTCAGTTGAAGAGCTTTAAAGGTGGAGTTTTGGGGAAAAGCAACAGACGATGAACCTGCATGGCGACGGGCTGGAGCAGCTCCGTTCCCAATGCTGGTCACTATCACTTGGGTGGTGTTGGCTTTAACAGATAAAGACATTTTTAAATAGATGTTTTGTTGATGAATTTTAATGTTGGATAAAATAATATAATAGGGGCTTTTTATAATGGTATTTCGTGGTTAAAACGAAGCTTTCGTGGATATCACGTGCGTGCTATATACGAATTGTAACAATTAAATTCGTGTTGAATACGAATGAAAAATCGTGTATTTGAAAAATAAAAAGCGTGATAAAATATTTTACAAAACTCTTTTAACAAGAATATATGGGGGCTACTGTTTATGCTTTCTACAGTAGAAAAAATCAATCAAAACTCAAATTTAACTCAATGTGTTTCTGTTTGACCTCAGTGGCAGGTCAAAGTATTCGAAGAAAAAAAACCCA